TCCGGCCTCCCGCCATCTGTTCTCACCTGAGCTCACCAACTCCTTTGTCCCCCTTGCTGAAGAATGTGGGGCAATTGCCCTATTTCCCTCCTTTGTAAAGGCCCCCATCTCCTTGCAGATGGCTCTTTTTGTCCCACTAGGCTCATGGCTCTACTCGGTCTCCCCTCCCTTTGTCCTGCTCTTCAGCCAAACTGTGGAGAAACCCCCTTATTGATGAATACAGAAACTTGAGCATTCCGCTCAAGGACAAACAAGAATGTATTGATGTCTTGACAGCCAAGCTATGTTAATTTAGAAAGCAGTGCAAGCATATGATAAAATATGAGCAGCAATTGCCTACATCACCACTGTGGTGATGTAGATAATTCTCATATTTACTATGAGAAATGTATTTTTGGAGAAGAACGGAGAGAAGATGGTGCAATGTTTTATTCAAGTGAGTGAATAGTGAATATTTATCAAACTTCCAGATGTCTTTTGTTTAGTTTCCTCCTTTGTTTGTCATTCTTCACGAGCTTGCTCGTTGCTATTCAGTTGTCAGCGTGTCATTTGCTCCGGCTTTGTATCTTGAACCTTGCTGCCCTACTCAAGTGTCTGTTTTTTCTCTAACTTTGCTTAGAGTGCTATGACCGTTCAAAAATACTAGAGTATCAAATTATTGACTTTCCAAAAATCTGAATAGTTCATTGATAAACATCAACAATGTCCTGTTAGTAATATTTTCAGTAATATTTAAGTATCTTTTTTTTTGCTGTTCCAGTTTAACTGTAGAAGTACTAAGGACAAAAGGTCCATGTCTTGTAGAAGAAAATGATCCCATCTTTGAGCATGGCTCTACAACTACATATTCCAGCTTCAGGAAAAGTTTTTACACAAAACCATGGTCAAATAAAGGTGAGCATATTTTTGAGTATGCTATGCCGAATTCCCAGCTTTATTAGAAAATATTGATATTATTTTAGCGTTTATCTTCCTGAATGGAGAATGAGCAAGGCTGTTTGTGTATGTATGCGAATGTATGTGTGTGTATGAAAAGATGCTTTATTCAAACATGCTTTTGCTAAAATGGGTGGTGTTAGTAAACCTGATAACCACTAGGTGATGGGAAATGCTGGTTACTTATCTAAATAATTTCTTAATGGACATGTTCTGTATCGGTGAATTGATGTATGAAAATTGGAGAGTGTATAATTATATTGATGAGCTTAATACTGCTTTGTGTTATGTTTCTCATTAATGTTGGGAAGGTTTGTCACATGATGATAAAAAAGAAACTCATTCAACTTTTTAACTATGTAACTTTAAATTTCACTGGAATATTCCAATTCAATTTGCAGCCCTGTTAGATAACCCAGTGGTCAATTGTACTCATAATTTCTCTGATTATGTAGAATGAAAAAATGGTGTCTTCTATGAGTTATCTGCTTAGTTGTATTAATAGTTTATAACTAGTCTATTTTAGATAGTAAGAGGGATAATAACTTCTAAAGTATTTCTAAATATTGTCTTTTTTTTTTTTTTTCTTTCTCCCAGAGACGGACATGTTCTTTTTAGCCATCAGTATGGTAGGAACAGACTTCTCTTTGATTGGGCAGCTGTTTCCTCATCGAGCTAGAGCAGAAATTAAGGTAAAAATTCAAGCATTCAAATACTTAAACATCTATTTTCACTCTTCCGTTTCAGTTTGCTATTCTTGTTCTTCCTAGTAGTTGATAATTTTGATGCTAATTGGCTTTAAAGTAATGCTTTTAATAACAATTTAAAATATGAATATGCTGGGTTGCATTCTGATCACTGTATTTAATAAGCAGATATAGCTAATAATGATTTTATTTTAATTGAAAAATGCTGATAGTGGATGATTGAGGTTCTTTTGTGTTACTTCTTTCTGGTATCTTGTTAGTACCAACTTCTATAATTCAACCTCTACCTACATGGGATGTAATGAGGATGGACAGAAGATGATGTTGAAAAATAACCAAAAATAAGCTAGTGATACCTACTGATGACAGAAAACAATTTTTAATTGTCTATTTAAAAATTAATGGCAAAAACTTGTGTTCTATGAGTGTGCTTGTAACATTTAACAACTTCAGTTCCTAGAAAAATGTATTGTTATAAAATAGTGTAAAAACTTTGTCTTATTCTGTGTTTTGCAAATTATTATATTGTTGCGTTTCTTGCTTATTTAATTATAAACCTAACTTATTTTTAGAATAAGTTCAAACGTGAGGAAAAAGCAAATGGATGGAGGATAGACAAAGCTTTCAGTAAGTAAAGAAAACACTCCACCTCTCAATGACTCAGTTAAATGGAAGCCTCTTTCAGCATTGTCATTTTTGTGCTTTGCCTTACTTGAGTTAATTATATGAAAATTTTTGGTCTTAAATGAATTTAGAAATTAGGCACTCTCAAGGTTTTTTATAGTAAGTATGATTCACACTAAGATCTTTAGGTTTAACTTTTGGCTTTGTATTCATTCAGTACATGAGATAAATATAAACTTTCAGCTGAAGATTATTCTGCTTCACTGGAATTTAGAGCATAGTTACTACTTGTAAACTGCTTTGAGGCCCTTTAAGTGCTTTGTATGTTTTTTTGAAAGGGTCATGTAAGTCTTATGTTAGGACATGGATTCATTGTTTGCTGCTAAGATACAGTTGGGTGTCATGGTGGACGACAAGTTGACCATGAGGCAGCAGTGTGCCCTCGTGGCCAAGAAGGCCAATGGGATCCTGGGGTGCATTAAGAAATGCGTCTCCAGCAGGTCGAGGGAGGGGATCCTCCCCCTCTACTCAGCCCTGGTGAGGCCGCATCTGGAGTATTGTGTCCAGTTCTGGGCCCCACAGTACAAGAGGGATGTGGAGCTGCTGGAGAGAGTCCAGCACAGGGAAGATGGTGCTGGCCTCTTTTCAGTGGTGGCCACTGATAGAATTATAGAAAACAGCCTGAAACTAAAGCATGAAAAGTTCCACAGGAACTTAAGGAAAAAATTCATAACAGTGAGGGTGACGGAGCCCTGGACCAGGTTGCCAAGAGAGGTTGTGGAGTCTCCTTCTCTGGAGATCTTCAAAACCCGCTTGGATGCAGTCCTGTGCCACGTGCTCTAGGTGACCCTGCGTGTGCAGGGGGATTGGACTAGATGACCTCTAGAGGTCCCTTCCAACCTTAAGCATTCTATGATTCTATGAATTTATCTATTGGTCACTTCTCAGATTTTTCTAAACTGCTAAATATTGTACTCTTTCTGCAGTCTGTTTTTTTAAAAAAAACAAGCTACCACAGTTTTTATACATCACATCTATCTGGTTTCTGCCAAGTGATATTCAGAAAAAAATCTGTTTAAATATGTAATTGTTACTTTTTAATATAACATGTAATGGTGATGATTTTACAAAAGTAGAATTTTGAAAAGATTATCAGCTACAGAGTCTTTTGTTTTTCTTTAACTGGACAGAAGAAAAGCAGCCCTTTGATTTTGAGTTCTTTGCTCAGCTCCTTGAGAAGGTTTTGGCTGATGAGGAAAAGAGAAAGCAGAAGACAGTTAAAAGCCAGAAACTGAAAGAAGAGAGGCCATCAAGGACTCGGAAGAAACCAAAAGGTACTTCGAAAGAATGCTTGAGATACCATCATAGAGCAGCGATGTTAATGTTGCTTCAGAAATATATCACTAACAAAGTAAAAATCACATAGGGGATCTCTTCCTCTCCTGTTCTGAACAGGGCAAGAGAATTCTGGCTTCGTAGCATAATTCTTTTTCAGATGTAGTTTGCTTATGTGCAGGATGGTAATAATTGGTTTCTTGAGGGACACTTTCTATAGGCCATGCTAGTATTATTGCTCTTCCAGTGTATGAAACACTGGAATACTAAAAGCGTTAATTTAATAGTTAATAAGTATCTTTGTGAGTTGCTGGTGAACTCACTTTTTAGCATCTTTGGCTCAAAACTTTGTTTTTGGTGCACTGTTTAAATTCTCATTTAAATTTTAACTTAATTTTATGATGCTGTTTCTCCGTTTAGCTGCATTTTGACTCCTAAAGTCTGTTGCAGTAAATCTATGCTGAAGTTTTTCTTTTTCATCAGTGACTGACTTCTCATGGACCTGCTTGTATGCCTAACAGCGTATCAGCACTGATTTATGAATTCACAAGATGTTACTTTTGGAAATATCTTTGAGATTTATGGCTCCTAATAGTTTATCAGCCTATTAATCAGGAGCTATACGGTCTCAATAGAGAAAGCTGCCAGTTCAGAAGCTGCTAGTGATCAAGATAATTCTCAGAAAGCCAGAATTTCTGATGTAGAAACAGAAGCAGATGCTGTGATGGCTGAGAATGAAGAATCTTTGGGTGTTTCTGAACGGACAGAACAACAGGCTACATTAGAGCTAGCATCAGCGAAAAATAAAAGAAAAAGGAGGAGAAAAGATGATCCTGAGCAGGAAGTGGAGAACCTTCCAGAACGGTTGTCAGCAAAAACTGCTGTCAAAAGCAAATCCTCAAAGAAAAGTAAGAGGCAATGTTCACTGCTCACCTGTAAATGTTCAAATACAAAGTTTTTATGTGAAGACACTGTGGTCTTAAAAAAGAGAATTGGGGGTTTGTTTTGTTACTGATCTGCCTTGAAAGGTGCAGAACTGTGCCTTTCAAGAAGTCAGCTTTCATACTAAATCTAAATGTTATGTTTTATTTTAGCTGAGAACATTTCTCTTAAACATTAATTATGTTGTTTCCACCAGGGTTTTCTTTGTTCTATATTAAATCTTGCTTCACTGTAGCTGGTATGTGAGAATTGGAATTTCGTGCTGTTACCTAGAATGTCCAAATCAATTTCATTCCTATTTATTAGCAGGAGAAAGTTCAGTGTGTGATACAAACGGTCATGGTCCTACTACTTTGGGAAAAGAACTGGATGGTGTTACTGAAGAAAAGCAAGATCAGACTCCTGTTGTGGAGGAGGAGAGATCAGAGTCCTGTTTACCAGTGGATGACATAACTAAAAGTGATCTCAATTTATACAGGTATTTTTTTTAATAGAAAGCTTAGGCAAAATTTTAAAAAAATGTTTATTTTTTTAGAATTTATTGAATTTGATTCTTACCATCATGTTAATTGATGTAGATGGGCAGGATTTTCAGTTTCTTTGATCAGTGACCGTGTGTCCTGCAATGTTTTAGTCATTTCCTTTCAATTTATACCCTCAATGTATTCTCTGCCCTAATGCTGTCCTTGTAACTCAGTTTACATCAATATTAAAATCCCTTCAAAATTACTTCTGGTGGAGGCAGGGGATGAGGACATTGCTTGAAGATTGCCTTATCCTAAACATTGGCTTAAAACTCTTAACCGTACTCCTACTATTTCTCTCAAAAGAGTGCTTGGTAACGTTGCTTGGAATTTATTAATAAGGGTTTCCTTGTGAAAAAGGAAAGCTGCTCAGATTTTACTTGTGTTGAACTTGCATCTTGGGTTGAGAGGCAATATTTTAGTCTTGACTTAGGACATTCTTTTACTAGAACGAATGTGAATATTTGTATTTTAGATTTTTTTTTTAACATATGAAAGTGGTAAATCTAAAAACTTAATGTGAAGCTGTCTGTAATGCTTCAGAGTTTTGCATATTAAGTACTCTATATGCTTATAGTGTAATTGCTGTTTTCATACAGTTTTCTTGAAACATTTATGTTTCATCCCTCACAGGAAGTATATGGAAGAGCAGTAATTCTTGTCTTTCAACTCGATGTAGATTGTTATGGAAGATCAGGGAAAATATTTTGTATACGGTAACGTCTGTTTATAAGCCTTTATTTAGTTTAGAATATTCAGATGGTATTTTTAATTTTTCTTGTAATGGTATTGCAAAAGCACAGAAGTGGTTTTAAAGCTCATGTTATGGGGTTATCACTAAAAGTTATGGGTGTTCTAGAGAACCTGACAAACATCTAATGTACAGAATTTGCAAACTGCTGTAAATCTAAATTTTACTGTTCAACTTAATCTGTAAACAATATTAGGTTTTTATTTACATTTTCACGTGCTTTTATTTGATTTCAGCTTTCAGGATGGCAGCGATAACATGCTAGAGACAGAATCTGCTAAACTGAGAATGCTAGATACTGGAGATGAAGCATTTCAGGAAAGCCAGCTTTCAAAGTTCCCACTTTCAAAGATTACAAACAAGGAAAGACAATCTGAAGAAACTGTGGAAGCCAAGGTATTTTTTTTTATTTTTTTAAAGTAATTCTGTTTTCTTAAGATCTTCCTGTTTACTCTTAGCAGTGTTTATGTAAATTAAAGCAGCTTTTTGATGTTTTTGTAATGTTTTTACTACTTACTGAACAAAAGGCAAAAAAACTGAGACCATCAACAGAATTTAAATTCTATCAACTTAGTTGGCTTGAATGTTTTTTGTTTGCTTGTTTTGCTTTTGTTAGACTAAGCTTATTCAGAGAACATAATGCTCATGTTTGCCTTATAGTTTAAACATTTAAGCAGTTTAATTACTCAAAATTGAAGCACTATAATATCAAAAAAAAATGAAACACTGTAATAACAACAATGAAATTTGATGTACTTCCTTGGAGCAAGTTTCTGCTGTCTGGCATGTACTAGCGATGCTGACAGCTGATTTGGGTGGGAAGAGTATAGGACTCTGTGTTGCCTCAAAATGTATGCCTCTGTATCCCCTCATCTCTGGCTGGTATGAGGTGTTTCAGGAAAAATGAAGTAAAGTGGAGCAAGACTGAATGACTTTTAAGGAAAAAGGAAATGACTTTTAAGGAAAAAGGGTACGCTCTAACCAGTGCTAGTGGTTCAGGAACTTTTTGAGATTGCATCTAGCTTCTTTCATAGCTGTCATTGGACCTTTTTATTCATCAGTTTGTCTAGCTGACATTTTGAATCTATTTGTACTTCTGTCATCAACTGCATACTACAGCTTCAGAGTTTCTAGTTTTATGCACTGCATGAAAAAGTATATTCTTCAGCTTATTTGAAGCCTGCTGCCTAATAGTTTAATATGATATACTCTCATTATTATGTTCCCATTCATCTTCTCCAGGCTATTCTTGTTTTTACAGCTGTTTTATCCAGCAATATCTTTTATTTATGTTTTCTAAGGTGGATAAAAATGATCTTATGGATAAAGCTTGGTGTGCATTTAGATTCTGTTTCCTAAAATAAAAAAAAAAAGCTGCTTAATAGAAAGTAGAAAATATAAATTAACTACTTAATATCTTCATAAATACTAACTGCTTGTAGTGGGAAGTGTTAGAACAATACATTCTCCTGATACTAGTTGGTGTAATAGTCATAAGAAATAATGAACTGAACAGGACAATCTGCCATTTACATGAGCAGAGTGTAGTGAAGTAGCTGAGCTTTCAAACTAATTCATTATGGCTGCTTGAAATAAGAAGGTCCTAAAACTTTCCAAACTTGATAATTTCAAAGGTAACTATTCTGTTGTGATTCTTTTGGCCTACTATGGTTATTTTAATTTAAAAGTTATGGAACACAATTATTGTCTTGCAGAGCTGAAGTAATAAGCATTTGTTTTCTTACTTAGAACAAAGATGTATATGACTCATGTAAAACAGAGTGTGCATCAGATGGTAATTTTCAACCTGAAATAATGTGAGTAGAATTATTTTACCTTGCATTAGTACTTGAGCTAAATGTGCATTTACTTATTTTGGATACAAATTCTGTTTAATCATACTAGGATTAGATGGTAGAGCATGATGACTTTTCTTCCTTATTCAAGAAGGACTTTTGGTAGAAATTTTGATTTGGGGAGGAGTGATGCTTTGACCAAAGCTCTAGAATATTACCTGGGAATGAGGAGGAAGACTTAACTAAGCTTAGAAAACCTAGTCCTTCTATGATCAGTGGCAGCAAGAGAGATTTTGCCATTTTGTTTGGGAATGCCAGTTATGAAGGTTGGCTAAAAATTGGGTCCTGTTGATTTCTTTGAAACTAGCAGATGTTCGTCAGAGCTTGTTACCTGCACACTCCACATGTTTAATGTATTCATATGTATGGACATTTTTGCTCTTTGGAATCTAATACTAGAGTCTAGGTTTAGACACACCTCTCTGGAAAATACTCCATCTCTGTGTGGCTGTTCTCCGATGTGAAGGTAATCTTTGTTACTATTTCTTACAGTGATGTAGTAGTGTTCAATCCTCTATATGATCAGAGACTTAAAAGTCATAATATGATACTTTAGAGATGATTTAGAGATAGTTTTCTGGTTTGCATTCAGTTAGCAGCACTTCTAAATGTGAAAGTTTCATCTTTCTCCTTCCCTTATTGAATGATAGGTCACTTCCATGGTAAAGATTGTCAGTTTTATTTGCCCTGTACTAGGGTATATTAGATCTGTTGGCTAATATCTATTATCTAATATCTATTAGGTAAGATAAGGTGGTAGTTCCCAGAGTGAAGATTATTGATCATCTTTCTTACTACTTTATTGGCTCCAGTAAAAAGTGTTGGGAACTTAGGAAACTCTATTGCACTTGTTAAGGATGCAGAGATTGATAAGTGCTTCTCATTTTTCAAGAATATTTGGGTTGTTGGCAGTGGGACAGAGTATAAAAACAGCAGATCATAGTTTTGTGAATTGGATAGCCCTGAAAGGGAAGGGACAGGAAAGGGAGACAGGAAATTCTATATGTGCACTAAGTCTGTTGTACTTTAGAAGCAGCTTTCTAGTGCTTCAAGTTTTAATTTCTGTTGAAATCAGTAGGCCTGTTTTCAGTAGCTTCAATTCTGAATCCTCAGGGAAAAGAGGTATTCCTGTGTAGCAGTACTTTCTTCGGGTATTTTAAAGTTGGATTCTGTTGGAACCAGGCGCAGGACAAC